CTGATGATAACTTTGGGTTCAGTTTCTGTACTTTTTCTCATCAGCATCATCGTGCTGATTGCAATGCAGTGCTCTAAATCTACAGACTATACTTCTAAATATCTACAAGAGCCTAATTATGACGGGACACTGTGTCACAGCATCCAGTACAGATCGGGAGACAAACGGTACATGTTAGTTGGACCCAGGATGAGTATAGGATCTACTATAGTGCCGGGCAGCCATGCGAATACACTAGTGCTTCCTGACAGGAGGAGAACATCTGGAGAGGTAAGACATTAATATGTAGGAAATGTGGTGTTTTCTATTTAGATGTCTATCACATTTTTGAGGTTTGTAGACTTGTGGTGTCTTATTCAGTATGTTCCTACTACGCTCAGAAATGTATGCAACATACGTGATTGTGTCCTCTGTTTCAAAACAACAGTTGTAAGTTTGCCAGTTTATTTGATTGTTGGACTCAGCTTCCTGCTTCTGTTGGCAAGAGATGCTGTCTGATGCACAGTTTATCTTAGCTCCTCTCATCCACTGACTGTTTTATAGATACCTATACACTCTCGAAGCTTTTATGAACATCATTTGTGTTTCTCTATAATGAAATAAATTATCCTTCTCTCCCAGTGGGAGAACAGAAAAGCCAAGCCTTATATTTAATTGTAGATTTGGGCAAAGAGCTATGCCACTGACCGTCTATAATTGAAATACAATTCCTCGCACTAACTCTCTGCACTGATATACTTTTAGTTATTTTGTGTTAGTAGCACATACCATCATTGTGCAAAATGCATCATAATTAATGTTCAAGAGACTGATGAATGTAGTCTCAATCATCCGACCTACAACAGTGTGTCCCGACCCCTTCATGCACTCGTAGCATGGCTGTGGCTAACAAGCGAACAAGTTAGTGTTGGAGAAAAACGTGAGCTCAATGAAGCAAATTAAGCAGTAGAAAGTTGTAAGCAGCAAGTGTTTACCAGTCTACCGAGTGTTTTCCACTCCTTTGGATTAACTGTGTGCGTGGATGTAACAAATAAGTTTATACTTTTTCTGTCTTTGTGGTAATGTGTAGGATTATATGAACACTTTGTTATCTAAACCAAGCTGAGCTTATTAAGTTTCTAATGAATAAAGTAATCTTTGTTGTGTAAAGAAATGTAGCTGTTACATTTCACCAGTTCATTCACATTGTAATAGACACTTGAATTTGAGCTTTAATTTCCCAAGTTAACCTACTGCTCATTAAAGGGAGAATGTGGGCACAGTCGTGATAATATTGTAGAGGAGAGATATATATTTAGCTGTTTCCAGGTGTTTGATGTGGTTGTGATGTAGATTCAGTTTGGTGTGTTCCTATTGTTCTTCTTAGAACTTAGATGTGCATTATTACATGCTAGTATGTATATGAATGCTAGTAATTTGACAGCGTTAGGTGTTTTTTTCTGAATGTAAAGGTGTCTATTACCTATAATATTGATATTGATATATCACGTTTATCTGAATGTGCCATCCTTAAGTAATGCTGTGCATTAAGGTTAGTAATGGCAATCATGATTTATCTCTGTGGTTCTTATGTTCCCTTGTAGACCACACACACTCCCTGCCACTGGTAAAAGGAAGTTCTGTGTCTTCTATGTTTGGCACCCTATTTCAACGGCTATCCTACTTGAACCATATAATCTCACCTACAATTAAGGACACAAATACTGTGGTTAAGACAGAAAGAAGCTGCAAGGATGCTTAAAATTGCTGTCCATGGTGCTGAAATCCATTGACTTTACTATTTTGAAGCCACAATATGGACAAAGCTAAATACACATAATAATTGGGTTAGAGTCTTTTTTTCTCTTAGACTTAATTTATATTGCCATTTAAAAGTATTAACCATTTAAATTCTTCCTACTGGGTCATTTTAATGTGTTGCAGAGATAGCAATAACAAGTACATAGCTCTAAGAATGTTGGAGCATTGTCCATAGCATTAAGCGTCTGTGATCATGTTTTTTTTTTTTTCATAAACTGCTTTTTCTTTGCTTCTTTTGTGACATCTCCAGGTGGATTTTCTGAGCAAAGTATATACAGTAGTATGCCATTTTAAAAACAACAAATCGTATTAAATGTAGTCCTCTTGGTGTCACTGTTACATCAATAAGGCCATGAATGACTCTCAGTCCCTCCCCTAACAAAGCTTTTGTTTGATACCTCACATCCAGGGATACATTTGATTTGAGCATGCAAGTCGAAGGACACCGTGTTGTGTGTTTTCTAAAGATGCGATTCTAAAAGGGGCAGACATACACATTTAATTTACTGCATAGACAACCTCATGTGTATGTGCTGTTGGTTAACAATGGAGAGTGAAAGACGACAGCGATCAAGCGACTTCGGTTGGTTTGTTTTTCGGTTTTCCTTACTGCTGTTTTTCGGAAGGCAGGCTTTGGCTGAATTGAGGTACTCTATTCCAGAGGAGATGAAAGAAGGAAGTGTTGTTGGAAATGTTGCCAAGGATCTTGGTCTGGACAAAACCTCTTTGATTGATCGACGGTTCCGTGTTGTGTCTGGATCTAAGGACGCTTTTTTCGAGGTAAACCCTGACAATGGTGCCTTACAGATCCAAAAAAAAATCGACAGAGAGGAGCTGTGTCAGGGAAGTGGTGCATGCTTAATTGAGCTGAAAATCCTTGTTGAAAACCCTTTAGAAATACACTATGTAGTCGTGGAAATTACTGATGTAAACGATCACTCCCCCAGTTTTTCTGAAAAGGAACAGCAATTTGAAATATTTGAACATACATCACAGGGAACGCGATTCGATCTACATGCGGCCCGTGATCCTGATGCCGGAGTGAACTCTATTCGTACATATACATTAACGGCAAATGAACATTTTGAAATAGAAATCAGTCAAAGCGATGAGGATAAAATGCCATCTTTAGTTCTGAGAAAATCATTAGACAGAGAACAAAAGAACAAACACTTGCTATATGTTACAGCGGTTGATGGAGGTAAACCTCCAAGATCAGGTACGCTAAATGTTTCCATCATTGTTCTTGATATGAATGATAATCGTCCAATGTTTAGTCAAGATACTTACCAAATAGAAATATATGAAAATGTCCCAGTTGGTACTACTGTTACAAGAGTAAATGCAACAGACCCAGACGAAGGGACAAATGGGGAAATAGAGTACAGCCTGAGCAAAACGTTAGCACGTAAAGTTTACGACATCTTTGAACTGGACAGTTTAAGTGGACAAATTAAGTTGAAAGGAGCGTTGGACTTTGAGGACTCTGAGATTTATAAACTAGATGTTCAAGCATCAGATAAAGGAACACCTCCATTAACAAGCCGATGTAAAGTCATAGTAAAGATAAAAGATGTCAATGATAATGCCCCAGAAATAGAACTCACATCACTGTCAAATACAGTGTCTGAAGACTCAAAACCTGGAACAATTATTTCACTTATTAGTTTAACGGATAAAGACTCCGGTGTAAATGGAAAAATTATCTCACGCATAACCGAGGAAGTTCCTTTTGAGTTAAAACCTTCTTACAAAGAAAACACATATTCAGTTGTCACGAAGGGGTTTTTGGATCGAGAGGAGGTGTCACATTATGAAATAATAATAAAAGCCACTGATTGTGGTGAACCTCCTTTATCCACTTTTAAAACTCTCAGCATTCAGATATCAGATGTAAATGACAACAGTCCACATTTCGAACAAAATCCATTACAGTTTTACCTGGTAGAAAATAACGTTGCTGGAGCGTCGATATTCTCTGTAAGCGCAAAGGACAATGACGTGAAAGACAATGCAGCAATTTCTTATCATATTGCTAGAGGAAATGATGTAACATCTTTCCTAAATGTAAACTCTGATAATGGACAAATATCCGCACTAAAAAGTTTTGACTTTGAAACACTGAAAACGTTCCAGTTCCAAGTTGTTGCCACAGATTCTGGAACTCCGTCACTAAGCAGCAACGTCACAGTGAACGTGTTCATTCTGGATCAGAACGACAACGCTCCAGTCATCCTGTATCCAGTCAGCTCCAACGGTTCTGCTGAAGGTGTGGAGGAGATTCCCCGCAATGTGAACGCAGGACACTTGGTGACTAAAGTCAGAGCCTATGACGCTGATATAGGATATAACGGCTGGTTACTGTTTTCACTGCAGGAAGTTACTGACCACAGTCTCTTTGCTTTGGACCGCTATACAGGACAGATCAGAACACTTCGCTCATTCACAGAGACAGAAGAGGCCGAGCATAAACTGGTCATACTGGTGAAAGACAATGGGAACGTTTCACTCTCAGCAACAGCTACTGTGATTGTCAAACTTGTGGAGCCCAAAGAGGCTTTTGCAGCTTCTGATGTTAAAAGTTCAACAAAGGATGAGGAGGGGAATGATGTGACTTTTTATCTAATGATAACTTTGGGTTCAGTTTCAGTACTTTTTCTCGTCAGTATCATGGTGCTGATTGCAATGCAGTGCTCTAAATCTACAGACTATACTTCTAAATATCTACAAGAGCCTAATTATGACGGGACACTGTGTCACAGCATCCAGTACAGATCTGGAGACAAACGGTACATGTTAGTTGGACCCAGGATGAGTATAGGATCTACTATAGTTCCAGGCAGCCATGCGAATACTCTAGTGCTCCCTGACAGGAGGAGAACATCTGGAGAGGTAAGCTGTTTTTTATTGCCGAAACTATTTTTCATTTATTTTTTGATGTTAATATATCTCTTTATTATCTTCATGGCTTAACTGTTGTTTGAGGAATGACTCTACGTGCAAATCTGAGTCCAACGTCGCTGTCCATTGTGCTGAACCAACACGCTATACTATAGTACTGTCTTGTTCTTGATGAAATCGCCAGTAATACATCAAATGAGCTTTATCTTTAGGTGTGTTGTATTTGTTGAAGAACACATTTACTGTAAAGTGATCACTTGGTGTCAGTATGTGAGTAGAAAAGTGTTTCAAGAAAGGCCTTTTGTCAGCGATATAGGCCCTCCCCTTTGTGGGATGGGTTTTCACATTTCAGTAGTGGTTGTATGCTTAACACACACAGCGAATATTCAGCACCTGCGATACTGAAAATACACTGGAAACTGTACATGTTATTTTCGGTCTATCTATTTTTCATTTGATAAAAAAATCGTCATTGTGACTCTTCGGGATACATTTTTATCTGCTAGTTATGGGGCAGAACGGACTTGGAGCATCGAGACGGCAATGGCGATGGATCGCTTTCATTGTTTCATTAATTTTGCTGTGGAGCAGCGCTTCGGCGCAGATAAGATATTCCATCGCTGAGGAAGTTAAAGAAGGAACTGTTGTTGGAAATATAGCGAAGGATTTGGGATTAGAGAAGAACACACTGAAAGAGAGAGGATGTCGTATTGTTGAGGGTTCAACGGAGTCATTTTTTCATGTAAACCAGAACGATGGAATACTGTATGTTGACCATATAATTGACAGGGAGAAGGTTTGTGAACGGAGCAGTGTATGCTTGATCAACCTAAAAACAGTGCTGGAAAACCCCCTTGAAATTCATTATGTGACTGTGGAGGTGCTGGATGTGAACGACCACTCTCCCACCTTCTCAACAAAAGAGTCGCGTCTCGAAATTTCAGAGTCAGTTTTACCAGGTTTGCGCCTCCAGCTGCAAGCAGCACACGACCCTGATGTCGGCCAGTTTTCGGTACAGGAGTATAAACTTAGCCCTAATGATCATTTTCGTTTGGAAGTCAAAGATCGTGGAAAAGACGGGAAAATACCGATATTGGTTTTACTCAAGACGTTAGATAGGGAAACAAAGAGAAGTCACAAATTGCTTCTTACAGCTATTGATGGAGGGAAACCAAGTAAATCTGGAACAGCTGAAATTACAGTTGACGTCTTAGACGTCAATGATAATATGCCAGTTTTCAACGAAGACACATACTCGGTACTTTTGGAAGAAAATGCTCCCATTGGCACAACAATTATAAAAGTAAATGCTTCTGATTTAGATGAAGGATCCAATGGGGAGATTACATATGCATTAGGCAAGAATGTGAATAACCGAATACGTGAACTATTTCGTATAGATGAGAATACGGGTGAAATTATAGTTCAAGATCTGATAGACTTTGAAACAGAGGAAAGTTATGAAATTGATATACAGGCATCTGATAAAGGATCTGCTCCTCTGAGAACAGACAAAAGTGTGTTGGTCAATATTGTTGATTTAAATGATAACGCCCCTCATATAGAGGTCACATCATTTTCGAGGGCAATACCAGAGGATGCAAGACTGGGGACCACTGTGGCGTTGATCAGTGTTCTTGATAAAGACTCAGGTCTTAACGGGAAAGTTATTTGCTCATTTAATGAAGACGTTCCGTTCAAATTATCACCTTCAACACAAGACAACATGTATGCTATAGTCACAAAATCGCCCCTAGATAGAGAGAAGCATTCCGTATATGATGTTACGATTGTTGCAAAAGATGCAGGTGCGCCATCATTGTCTTCTGAAAAAAGCATTAGTATCGTTGTATCAGATGTAAACGATAACAGTCCTGAGTTTTCAGCGAGCCCTTACACGTATTATATTACTGAGAACAACTCTCCGGGGGCGTCACTGTTTGCTGTGAGGGCATCAGACCACGATGAGGGTGATAATTCTCGTATTTTATATCACATTTTAAGAGATGGAAAAGAGAATAACAAACTCAATTTATTAAATCTTAATGTGGCCTGGTCAAGAATGATGAGACCGTACACAAATAAAATTATTTTTGTGGGTTCTTTTATTTCCCGACTGAGCTTAATAAAGAACAGCATTAATATTGTTTCTTGAGGATTTAGGACAGATATAACAAAACGGAATGATAACTTTTCCCTATTCCTTGTCTGGCAACAAGCATCTGCTTTAACAGTTCTCCTTAGCAGTTGATGAACAATGGTGTATGTAGACTACCCCCAGCTACAGTTACCAGGCTCAAACTCATACAGCTTCATTTACTTCATTAAACTGAACTTCAGACATTAGCTAACTCTAGACAACAGTAGTGGCACCTCTCTAAATAAAGAAAATAAAAACATTTGTTAAGCCACGTAACTCATAGTCACTTCAACATAAAATACTTCAATTGCATGAGAAATATAAAAATACATTCAATACAAAATATTCTCTCCATTTACATATTCTTACAATTCAGAAACAATTTAGTAGTACAATTAACTCACTTTCACTCCAGTGTGCAGCCTGTGTTCCAAGACACACACCTGGAATTCAACACGCATATATCTCCCCTCTAAATTAGGCAGAAAACATACAAATGGACATAGCTTATTTAATCAGTCAGCATACATTGAAATGAGATAATTCTGTTTATACATGTGCTTTATCATTACTCACGCTAACCCCGCTGTTCAGTGTTGCCCTCAGCGTGGCGGAGATACGCACACAAACTCATTTACAGATCTACAGAAATCGTCAGGAATACAAAATCATCATTTTCGGGGCAATACCAGCCTTAAGGCTGCAAGACTGGGGACCACGTGGCGTTGATCAGTGTTCTTGATAAAGACTCAGGTCTTAACGGGAAAGTTATTTGCTCATTTAATGAAGACGTTCCGTTCAAATTATCACCTTCAACACAAGACAACATGTATGCTATAGTCACAAAATCGCCCCTAGATAGAGAAAGCATTCCGTATATGATGTTACGATTGTTGCAAAAGATGCAGGTGCGCCACTCATTGTCTTCTGAAAAAGCATTAGTATCGTTGTATCAGATGTAAACGATAACAGTCCTGAGTTCTTTTCCGCGAGCCCTTACACGTAATATATGCCTGAGAACAACTCTCCGCGGGAAAAAGAACGTCACTGTTTGCTGTGAGGACATAAGCCCACGATGAGGGTGATAATTCTCGTATTTTATAGCACATTTTAAGAGATGGAAAAGAGAATAACAAACTCAATTTATTAAATCTTAACATCAACTCTGAAAATGGAGATATTATGGCGCTAAAAAGTTTTGACTTTGAAACTCTGAAAACGTTCCAGTTCCAAGTTGTTGCCACAGATTCTGGAACTCCGTCACTAAGCAGCAACGTCACAGTGAACGTGTTCATTCTGGATCAGAACGACAACGCTCCAGTCATCCTGTATCCAGTCAGCTCCAACGGTTCTGCTGAAGGTGTGGAGGAGATTCCCCGCAATGTGAACGCAGGACACTTGGTGACTAAAGTCAGAGCCTATGACGCTGATATAGGATATAACGGCTGGTTACTGTTTTCACTGCAGGAAGTTACTGACCACAGTCTCTTCGGTTTGGACCGCTATACAGGACAGATCAGAACACTTCGCTCATTCACAGAGACAGACGAGGCCGAGCATAAACTGGTCATACTGGTGAAAGACAATGGGAACGTTTCACTCTCAGCAACAGCTACTGTGATTGTCAAACTTGTGGAGCCCAAAGAGGCTTTTGCAGCTTCTGATGTTAAAAGTGCAACAAAGGATGAGGAGGGGAATGATGTGACTTTCTATCTGATGATAACTTTGGGCTCAGTTTCAGTACTTTTTCTCGTCAGTATCATCGTGCTGATTGCAATGCAGTGCTCTAAATCTACTGACTATACTTCTAAATATCTACAAGAGCCTAATTATGACGGGACACTGTGTCACAGCATCCAGTACAGATCGGGAGACAAACGGTACATGTTAGTTGGACCCAGGATGAGTATAGGATCTACTATAGTGCCGGGCAGCCATGCGAATACTCTAGTGCTCCCTGACAGGAGGAGGGCATCTGGGGAGGTGAGTAAATATTTATATTTGCTATACATGCGGATTGAAGGATTCCTTTCGTCATTACTATCTCAAACCATGGTGCTGAAATTGTATTTAGATTCAACTCACACACGAGGAACTTTCTCATTCAAAACCCTTACGACATAGTGCCATTTATTATTGATCATGATAACGTGATAAAATGCATTCTCGCACACATTCACAGGGTGGCAGTATCTTTTCAGTATAACGCCTGGCAGGGTCTCAGAACAGGATACACATGAGTCCGCCCCTACTACGTTCAGTCTGGTTAGACGACAGTTAGCGGAGAGACTTGGAATAAGCGCACGGTCACTGTTTATTGAGCTTTTTCAAAAATACATTTCAAGGATACATACATATATTTCAGGCTGTGATGGATACACTCATTTAAAGAAGTGGAGAATGATGGACGCGTTTGGATTCCTACTTTTACCACAAAACATGAGACAAAGAGGATGGGAGACAAGGCGACAGCGACCACATTTGCTCGCCGTTCTGATTTTGCTTTTATTTTTCAGAGCAGCATCGGCACAGTTGAGATACTCTATATCTGAAGAGCTCAAAGAAGGAAGTTTTGTTGGGAATATAGCTAAAGATTTGGGAATTGACCGGAATTTGATGAAGCAGAGGGGATTTCGTATTATGTCCGGCTCGACTGAACCTCTTTTCATGGTGAATGAGAATGACGGGGTTCTTTATGCGAACCAGAAAATAGACCGAGAGGAAGTATGTAAGGAGAGCAGTGCATGTTTAATTAACCTTAAAACTGTTCTCGAAAACCCACTGGAAGTACATTATGTCACCGTGGAGATAACAGATTTGAACGACCACTCTCCCACATTTCCAGAAAAAACAAAGAGGCTAGAGATTTTTGAATCTGCCTTGCCAGGAGCACGATATCAGTTGCAAAATGCTCACGACCCAGATGGCGGCGCAAACTCTGTCCAACAGTATAAAATCAGTCAGAATGACCATTTTCGTTTAGAGATTAAAGATCGCGGGAGAGATGGTAAAACTCCAATTTTACAATTACAGAGACAGCTTGACAGAGAGGCCAGACGTAATCATACACTGGTGCTGACGGCTATAGATGGAGGGAATCCCCAAAAGACAGGCACAGTTGAAATATACATAGATGTTCTTGATGTTAATGACAATATGCCAGTGTTCACCAAAGACACATATTCAGCCGTGCTACAAGAGAACGCTCCAATCGGCACAACAGTCATCCAAGTTAATGCAACAGATCTGGACGACGGTGCCAATGGGGAAGTTGTTTATTCATTTGGCAGTGATGTAAAAGGTAAAATTCGAGAGCTGTTTGATATCGACTCTGTTACTGGGGAGATAATAGTGAAAGGTCGTGTGGACTTTGAGGAGCAAGACAGTTATGACATTGATATACAGGCCTCTGATAAGGGAACAATTCCATTCAGAACAGATAAGAGTGTTATCATTAAAATTGGAGACACAAACGATAATCCTCCTGAGATAGAAGTGGCTTCCTTGTCAAGTGCCGTTTCAGAGGACTCTAGACCGGGGACAACCGTAGCGCTTATAAGCATTACTGATTTAGACTCTGGGATGAATGGCAAAATAATTAGCTATGTCGCAGAAGAGAGCCCTTTTACATTAACTCCATCAATACAAGATAACATGTTTGCTGTTGTCACTAAGTCACAACTGGACAGGGAACAACAATCAAGATATGATATTACAGTAATCGCTAAAGACGCAGGTGAACCAGCCTTAACATCCGAAAAGACTATAAGCATGTTTGTGTCGGATACGAATGACAACAGTCCCAAGTTTTCGACGAGCCCCTATACATTCTACATCTCGGAAAATAACCCCCCAGGAGCGTCTATATTTTCTGTAAGAGCGTCTGATTGTGACGAGGCGGATAATGCTCTCATTTCGTATCATATTCTCAGGAACACAGGTTATGAAAATAAAGTTACTTCATTTCTCAACATCAACTCTGAAAATGGAGATATATTGGCGCTAAAAAGTTTTGACTTTGAAACTCTGAAAACGTTCCAGTTCCAAGTTGTTGCCACAGATTCTGGAACTCCGTCACTAAGAAGCAACGTCACAGTGAACGTGTTCATTCTGGATCAGAACGACAACGCTCCAGTCATCCTGTATCCAGTCAGCTCCAACGGTTCTGCTGAAGGTGTGGAGGAGATTCCCCGCAATGTGAACGCAGGACACTTGGTGACTAAAGTCAGAGCCTATGACGCTGATATAGGATATAACGGCTGGTTACTGTTTTCACTGCAGGAAGTTACTGACCACAGTCTCTTTGCTTTGGACCGCTATACAGGACAGATCAGAACACTTCGCTCATTCACAGAGACAGACGAGGCCGAGCATAAACTGGTCATACTGGTGAAAGACAATGGGAACGTTTCACTCTCAGCAACAGCTACAGTGATTGTCAAACTTGTGGAGCCCAAAGAGGCTTTTGCAGCTTCTGATGTTAAAAGTGCAACAAAGGATGAGGAGGGGAATGATGTGACTTTTTATCTGATGATAACTTTGGGCTCAGTTTCAGTACTTTTTCTCATCAGCATCATCGTGCTGATTGCAATGCAGTGCTCTAAATCTACAGACTATACTTCTAAATATCTACAAGAGCCTAATTATGACGGGACACTGTGTCACAGCATCCAGTACAGATCTGGAGACAAACGGTACATGTTAGTTGGACCCAGGATGAGTATAGGATCTACTATAGTGCCGGGCAGCCATGCAAATACACTAGTGCTTCCTGACAGGAGGAGGGGTTCTGGAGAGGTAAGATCAATAGTTTGACTCTTTCTCTACTGTAAGTTTTTTGTCTAATTTTGTGTAAATAACATTAGCTCAGATTTATACATTCTAATTTAATTACATGCACTTGAGTTTTAAGTTAGTGAACCTATCACTAATTGTTTTCTGATCTACTTGATTCATGTCCACTGATATGAAGCAAACAATCCTGACTTACTTCATGACAAACACCCTTATAAGATAAATGAGAAGAGCCTGCTTTAATACATTTATCAGACTAATATTTTCCAGATTACATTAACCTTACATTTAGCTTGTTTTGTGAAAATGTTGATATTAAACTGATATCAGTGAGAAAGTGTGGCAACTCGTGTGCATGAGTTATGTTGACTGTTTCAATAGCAACAAGATGTGGATGCAAACTGAGTTGTAATATCTTTGCAAGGAGAACTGCTGTGCCTTAATTGGCTCCATCATAGCTTTCAGATGTCTGGTACCAAAATGGCTGGAATGTTTTTTCTTCATTTAACTCCCTGCTACTTAAATAATGATATTTGTACCAGAATAAATACTTTCACAAATGCAATAGTATCCATCTACAGGTGGTGTACTCCTAAAAATGCCCTGGTTTGGCAGAGTGCATGTTGTCGCTGTCCGTGGTGCTGAAACATTGTTTAGCAAGTCCCTTTTACTGGGCAAAACGCGAAACTCTCATTTAAAGCATGGTAATAATGGTAATATAGTGCAATGCATGAGTTAATGTTCCCATGGACAATTTGTCTCACGAATGTGTATTTTACCTCCTCTGTGCTTTGTATGTGGCGGCCGGAGAAGCCGTTTTTCCATTGTTAAAAACATTTTGTTATTATTTTAAATACAGTACTGCAGTGTGGTTCTCGATCACTTGGTGTCAGTATATTATCAAATAATGCTTCCACATGTTCTCGTCATAGTCACAAGACCCATCCCTTTCCTCTAAAACCCATCACGGACGGAACCTTTTCCGTGCTGACGGCTTGAATATACAATTTAGCTTTAATAAATTGTATTGCTCTGTTTGGTTGGATTATGGCAACGAATGTGACGGAGGATTTTACATCATTATAGCACATTGAAATCTATTTTTATTTTAAATGTTTCATCTTCACATCATGGAACAAAGACGGCGCCGGCCATGGAGAGAGCAGACAAAGTGGGTTGCCTGTATGATGGTTTTGGTTACGTTTTGGAGCAGAGCTTCGGGACAATTCCGATATTCCATCTCTGAGGAAGTGAAAGAAGGAACCATTGTTGGAAATATTGCTAAGGATTTAGGTCTTGATAAGTCCACACTGAAAGAGAGGGGTTACCGCATTGTGTACGGTACAACAGAGACGCCTTTTCGAGTAAATCAAGACGACGGTATCTTGTATGTGAACCGAAAAATTGACAGGGAAGAAGTATGCGAACGAAGCAAGGTTTGTGTAATCGACTTAAAAGCCGTTTTAGAAAACCCCCTGGAGGTCCACTATGTAGCAGTGGAGATTTTGGATGTAAATGATCATGCACCGAGCTTCCCCGAAAATGAGAAGATGTTAGAAATTTCAGAATCTGCTTTACCAGGAGCACGATTTCAATTAAAAGGTGCGCGTGATGCTGACAGCGGTTCCTTTTCCGTTCAACAGTACAGGTTGAGTCATAATGAACATTTTCGGTTGGAAGTCAAAGATCGCGGTGAAGACCGCAAAACCCCGAGTTTAATTCTTCAAAAGCCACTGGACAGAGAATCTGTCAAAACCCATGTGTTACTTCTGACAGCCATTGATGGAGGTAAACCTCCAAAGTCCGGTAACATGACAATAATTATTGATGTGTTCGATGTCAATGATAACACCCCAGTTTTCACTCAGGAATCCTATACAGTGCAGCTGAAAGAAAATTCTCCTCTTGGTACAACTGTTATTCAGGTTAATGCAACAGATTTGGACGAGGGTTCAAATGGTGAGGTTGTATATTCATTTGGCAATGACGTGGATGCACAAACAAGTGCACGTTTTAATTTAAATTCAGTGACTGGAGTGATTACTGTGGCAGGGTCTATAGATTTTGAAGAATGTAGCAGATACGAAATTGACATCCAGGCATCCGACACAGGTGCAGCTACACTAGCTACAGACAAGAGCGTTATTATACATATTGTTGACGTGAATGACAATGCACCAGAGATTGAAGTGACATCTTTTTCACATGCGCTCCCGGAGGATTCAAAACCAGGAACAACAGTGGCTTTGATTAGTGTCAAAGATTCGGACTCCGGTCTTAACGGAAAAGTTTTGTGTTACATAAACCGAGACCTACCTTTTACAATCACTCCATCGTTACAAAATAACATGTATTCTCTGGTCACTAAATTACTTTTGGATCGAGAGCAGCAGTCACAATATGAGGTAACAATTGTTGCTAAAGATGCAGGTGAACCATCCCTAACGTCTGACAAAACTATAAACATTGTTGTATCAGATGTGAATGACAACAGCCCAGTGTTTTTACAGAACCCATATACTTTCTACATAACTGAAAATAACAACCCGGGAGCGTCTATTTTGTCGGTGACAGCCCGTGATGATGACGAGGGAAGTAATGCTCTTATTTCGTATCATATTTTAAGGAATAAGGGAGGAGAAAATCTGCTTGCCTCCTTTCTAAACATAAACTCTGAAACTGGAGATATATTGGCGCTAAAAAGTTTTGACTTTGAAACTCTGAAAACGTTCCAGTTCCAAGTTGTTGCCACAGATTCTGGAACTCCGTCACTAAGCAGCAACGTCACAGTGAACGTGTTCATTCTGGATCAGAACGACAACGCTCCAGTCATCCTGTATCCAGTCAGCTCCAACGGTTCTGCTGAAGGTGTGGAGGAGATTCCCCGCAATGTGAACGCAGGACACTTGGTGACTAAAGTCAGAGCCTATGACGCTGATATAGGATATAACGGCTGGTTACTGTTTTCACTGCAGGAAGTTACTGACCACAGTCTCTTTGGTTTGGACCGCTATACAGGACAGATCAGAACACTTCGCTCATTCACAGAGACAGACGAGGCCGAGCATAAACTGGTCATACTGGTGAAAGACAATGGGAACGTTTCACTCTCAGCAACAGCTACAGTGATTGTCAAACTTGTGGAGCCCAAAGAGGCTTTTGCAGCTTCTGATGTTAAAAGTTCAACAAAGGATGAGGAGGGGAATGATGTGACTTTCTATCTGATGATAACTTTGGGTTCAGTTTCAGTACTTTTTCTCGTCAGTATCATCGTGCTGATTGCAATGCAGTGCTCTAAATCTACAGACTATACTTCTAAATATCTACAAGAGCCTAATTATGACGGGACACTGTGTCACAGCATCCAGTACAGATCTGGAGACAAACGGTACATGTTAGTTGGACCCAGGATGAGTATAGGATCTACTATAGTCCCGGGCAGCCATGCGAATACACTAGTGCTCCCTGACAGGAGGAGGGCATCTGGAGAGGTAAGATGTTTTGGATGTTTTTTCCCCCCATCCCCTTTATACTTAAGACTTTGAGTAAAAGGTTTTGTCATCATTATGAGAGATGAGAAGGACCCTCTAGTGGTGACATTTCTCTCTCCAAATACAGGCTACACCTTCCTGACATTCAACCAGTAATTAAAACCATTATGAATTTTGTAATTTCTCTGATTTTGTACCGCAACAAACTTGAAAGAAGAAAAAGCCTTTCCAATGTTGGGATATCTTGCCTCTAAACATCTATGTAACTAAATATTTCAACGCTTGGTGTCAGTGTACTTCAGTGATTCTGTGCATCTGGTGGCACTTTACGTCACGAGCTGTATTTCGACGAGCCCTTGCATTTTTCTCAAACAGCAAACCTGAGCGTAACACCGCGATTGGCAGCAACGAGTCTCTTTATTTTAAGCAGTTTTGTACAAACAAATCTGTGGCATCGTTTAGGAACATGAGGCATTAAGTCTCATTGACATCACGACGTAGTTACTGGACTGTGTTTTATCGCCTTCAAGTCATGGAACAAAGAGGATGTAGAGAGCGACAGTGTTGGTTTGCCTTCATGGTTGTTTTGGATATTCTATGGAGCGGAGCTTCTGCACAGATAAGATATTCGATATCTGAGGAGGTTCAAGATGAAACCGTCGTCGGGAATATAGCCAAGGATTTGGGATTAGATAAGAGTGCACTCAAAGACAGAGGATATCGCATTGTAACAGGCTCTACTGAACCCCTGTTTCACGTGAATCAAAATGATGGCATCTTGTATGTGAAAAGAAGAATAGACAGGGAGGAGGCGTGCGACCGGAGCAGTCCATGTTTGATAAATCTGAAAACCGTGCTAGAAAACCCGCTGGAGATCCACTACGTGGTAGTGGAAATACTTGATGTAAATGATCACTCGCCGGTGTTTCCGGAGAAAGAGAAAAGGCTTGAGATTTCTGAGTCAGCCTTACCAGGAGCGAGATTTCAACTACAGGCTGCGCGCGACTCTGATGTAGGCCAGTACTCCATTCAGCAATATAAACTCAGCCATAACGAATATTTTAGATTAGAAGTGAAGGACAGAGGCGAGGACCGTAAAGTGCCATTTTTAGTTCTGCAGAAGCAGCTGGATAGAGAGACAGCCGGGAAACTTAAGCTACGTTTAATAGCCGCTGATGGAGGAAAACCATCGAAGTCTGGCTCTATAGAAATAATTGTGGATGTCCTTGATGTTAATGACAACTCCCCGGTGTTTACCAATGAGCTGTATTCTGCTTCACTAAAAGAAAACGTTCCTGTTGGCACTTTAGTGATTCAGGTGAATGCCACAGATTTGGACATGGGTGCAAATGGCGAAATAATATACTCATTTGGTAACGAAGTTGATTCAAAATTAATGGATGTCTTTAGTATAGACGCAAACACCGGTGAAATTAAAGTGACCGGTCAGATAGATTTTGAGGAAAGTAAAAGTTATGAAATTGACATTCAGGCGTCCGATAAGGGACCAGTTCCACTAACAACTGACAAAAGTGTGATGATAACTGTTATTGATGTGAATGATAATGCACCCGAGATAGAAGTGACATCTTTTTCTAGCTCTATCAAGGAGGATTCAAAGATAGGAACTACAGTTGCCCTGATTAGTGTCAGTGATTTAGACTCTGGAATCAATGGTAAAGTAATTTGCATAATTAAAGAAGATGTCCCTTTTACGTTATCTCCATCATTGCAAGAAAACATGTATGCGGTTGTAACCAGGTCGCAGTTGGACAGGGAAATTATTTCACAATTTGACGTCACAATTATTGCAAAAGACACAGGAGACCCTGTATTTTCAACTGACAAGACCATAAGCATAGTAGTATCAGATGTAAATGACAACAGTCCACGGTTTTTGTCAAGTCCATATGTATTTTATATCACCGAGAATAACATTCCCGGAGCCTCAGTATTTTCAGTAAAAGCCTCTGATCGTGATGAAGGTGATAATGCTCTCATTTCATATAATATTTTGAGAGAAGCCAGCAGGGATACTAAATTGGCCTCATTTTTAAATATAAACTCTGATAATGGAGATATTTTGGCGCTAAAAAGTTTTGACTTTGAAACTCTGAAAACGTTTCAGTTCCAAGTTGTTGCCTCAGATTCTGGAACTCCGTCACTAAGCAGCAACGTCACAGTGAACGTGTTCATTCTGGATCAGAACGACAACGCTCCAGTCATCCTGTATCCAGTCAGCTCCAACGGTTCTGCTGAAGGTGTGGAGGAGATTCCCCGCAATGTGAACGCAGGACACTTGGTGACTAAAGTCAGAGCCTATGACGCTGATATAGGATATAACGGCTGGTTACTGTTTTCACTGCAGGAAGTTACTGACCACAGTCTCTTTGCTTTGGACCGCTATACAGGACAGATCAGAACACTTCGCTCATTCACAGAGACAGACGAGGCCGAGCATAAACTGGTCATACTGGTGAAAGACAATGGGAACGTTTCACTCTCAGCAACAGCTACTGTGATTGTCAAACTTGTGGAGCCCAAAGAGGCTTTTGCAGCTTCTGATGTTAAAAGTGCAACAAAGGATGAGGAGGGGAATGATGTGACTTTTTATCTGATGATAACTTTGGGCTCAGTTTCAGTACTTTTCCTCATCAGTATCATCGTGCTGATTGCAATGCAGTGCTCTAAATCTACAGATTATACTTCTAAATATCTACAAGAGCCTAATTATGACGGGACACTGTGTCACAGCATCCAGTACAGATCTGGAGACAAACGGTACATGTTAGTTGGACCCAGGATGAGTATAGGATCTACTATAGTGCCGGGCAGCCATGCGAATACACTAGTGCTCCCTGACAGGAGGAGTGCACCAGGAGAGGTAAGACACATTTAAGTCCAAACTGTGAGGTGACTCAGTGTATTGTTTATTGTATTAACATATCAACTATGTCTCCCGGGGTAATGTCTTGCATTGCAGGGCACTGCATTTGATGCTTTGTTTACAATTCAAAGTTGCGGACGAGCGAATGAAAGCTGACTTATGTCCGGCTGGATATGAAAAAGTAAGCTACCACCGCATATAATTGCAGGATGTCAGTGTGAAAAATCTACTCAAGTCGACTCAGCACTGTTAAATATCCTGTTAACATATATCAATGCCTTAATCGAAAGGTTATACGGAACTGCAACACATAGCTATAGCTGTCCTTGGTGCTGAACGTGTTAGTCTAATTTTCTGATACTAATATCGTTATGACAGCGTCCTAATTCACATAACAATAATCATAGTATGTAAACAATATTCACTTGTGTTGTGTAAGCTTTTTCAAAGATATTGTATTTCCACCATTTCTGAAGGTTTGTGGTCGCTTGTTTTGTCTAAGCAACCTCCTGATCTCTTCTCTTTCCATACAATTAACAACTTTTCTCAGAGGTTCGCTGTGTCCTAATGTGAAATACATCCTTAAATTTTCTGCACTGGGTATTAAGGTCGCATGGTGTCAGTGTAATGCAAAAAGTCAGCGTTACACGAGCTTGTCGTCATTGCCGTTTGGTCCCACCTCCTGCATTGTTACTTCGATACTGGCAGGATCGTTTCTTTGCTTATTTGGTGTACATGGTCAGTGTGCCCCAATTTATGGATAAATAGGAAATGCATAAATATTTATAGATAGTAAAGAGTTTGATTCTGTCTATAGAACGCAGTTATAGTGCTTGTGATGGATTACTGACTTCGGGTTTAACCATGGAACAAAGAAGATGCGAGCAACGGAAAATGCGAGGATATTTGGTCGGCTTTGTGGTTGCTGTGCTGTTGTGGAGCGTGGCCTCGGCGCAAATACGATACTCAATCTCCGAGGAAGTTAACGAAGGAACTGTGGTTGGAAATATAGCAAAAGATCTGGGATTAGATAAAAGCACACTGAAAGAAAGAAAGTATCGGATTGTTTCTAGTAATGCGGAGCCGCTTTTTCACGTAAATCAAAACGATGGCATCCTGTATGTGAGCCGGAAGATTGACAGAGAAGAGGTGTGCGCGCAGAGCAGTACGTGTTTAATAAATCTGAAAACAGTGCTCGAAACGCCACTGGAGGTGCACTATGTTAGAGTTGAAGTTCTGGATATTAATGACCATTCTCCCAGTTTCACAGAGAAAGAGACAACGTTGGATATTTCAGAGTCTGCGTTGCCCGGAGCACGATTTCAGCTAAAAGCCTCTCGGGATCTAGACAGTGGTCATTTCTCCGTGCAGCAATATAAACTTAGCCCCAACGATCACTTCCGTTTGGAAGTTAAGGATAAAGGAGAAGATGGTAAAATACCAATATTGGTTGTTCAAAAATCTTTGGATAGGGAGACTGCAGGAAGCCACTCATTAGTGCTGACTGCGCTGGATGGAGGTAAACCTCCGAAATCTGGCGAAATTACTATTATAGTAAATGTTTTAGATGTTAATGATAACGCACCTGTTTTCTTGAAAGATGTTTATTCTGTGATGCTCGATGAAAATGCTCGACTAGGTACAACAGTCACACAAGTTAATGCAACTGATTTGGATGAAGGACCAAACGGAGATGTGGTTTACTCATTTAGCAAGAGTATGAATCAAAATATATTAAACCTGTTTGATATCAATCCATTAACAGGTGAGATCACGGTTAAGGGTTTAATAGACTATGAGGAGAAAGAGAAATATGAAATTGAAATTCAAGCATCCGATAAAGGTTTGGCTCCTCTAACAACAGAAAAAAGCGTAATTATAAAGATAGTTGACGTTAATGATAATGCCCCTGAGATTGAGGTTACCTCATTTTCAAGTTCAATCCCTGAAGATTCCAGACCTGGAACTACAGTTGCCCTAATCAGTGTGAATGACTTGGACTCTGGACTCAATGGAAAAGTTATTTGCTCAATAGGTGAGGATGTTCCATTTTCTTTATCGCCATCTTTACAAGACAAAATGTATTCATTAGTAACCAAATATCCTCTGGACAGAGAGAAACAGTCACAATATGAACTAACAATAATTGCAAAAGACGCTGGTCAACCACCATTATCATCTGAAAAGACAATTAGCGTTGTGGTGTCAGATGTGAATGACAACAGTCCACAGTTTTTACTGAGTCCATATACTTTCTACGTCATAGAGGGAAATGTGCCAGGAGCCCCTGTGTTTTCTGTGAAAGCTTTTGATCGTGATGAGAACGACAATGCTCTTATATCCTATCATATTCTCAGAGATGGAAGCCAAGAAAATAAATTGGCTTCATTTCTAAACATTAACTCTGAAAATGGAGATATTTTGGCGCTAAAAAGTTTTGACTTTGAAACACTGAAAACGTTCCAGTTCCAAGTTGTTGCCTCAGATTCTGGAACTCCGTCACTAAGCAGCAACGTCACAGTGAACGTGTTCATTCTGGATCAGAACGACAACGCTCCAGTCATCCTGTATCCAGTCAGCTCCAACGGTTCTGCTGAAGGTGTGGAGGAGATTCCCCGCAATGTGAACGCAGGACACTTGGTGACTAAAGTCAGAGCCTATGACGCTGATATAGGATATAACGGCTGGTTACTGTTTTCACTGCAGGAAGTTACTGACCACAGTCTCTTTGCTTTGGACCGCTATACAGGACAGATCAGAACACTTCGCTCATTCACAGAGACAGACGAGGCCGAGCATAAACTGGTCATACTGGTGAAAGACAATGGGAACGTTTCACTCTCAGCAACAGCTACTGTGATTGTCAAACTTGTGGAGCCCAAAGAGGCTTTTGCAGCTTCTGATGTTAAAAGTTCAACAAAGGATGAGGAGGGGAATGATGTGACTTTCTATCTGATGATAACTTTGGGTTCAGTTTCAGTACTTTTTCTCATCAGTATCATCGTGCTGATTGCAATGCAGTGCTCTAAATCTACAGACTATACTTCTAAATATCTACAAGAGCCGAATTATGACGGGACACTGTGTCACAGCATCCAGTACAGATCTGGAGACAAACGGTACATGTTAGTTGGACCCAGAATGAGTATAGGATCTACTATAGTGCCGGGCAGCCATGCGAATACACTAGTGCTCCCTGACAGAAGGAGGGCATCTGGAGAGGTAAGGCACATTTAAATTTAAACAAGCATGTTGTTTTTGTATTTAAAAAAAATTAAATACAAGCAGGTAGCCAGATTATATTTTCTCAATATGTGAGGCAAGCTTTCATATCCAACTAACAATAACTGGAAAAATGTTTGTCACATCTGTTGGATTTGATGGAGCTGAGCTGTTCTGGTGTTTTAAATCATTTTCCTATGCGGAAAGTACATTTTTAAGTGACTGTTAGAGTTTGGCAATTAATGCAAATAGTTGATAGAGATTAGGGAAACATTGTGGTCTTACATTGACACTAACTCGTCAGTAAATGTAAATCCATATTTTCTATTAGTTGCTTGTGAAGGACATTTGTAGCAGACTCAGAGTTGTATAAAAACTGTGGCATTTTGCAGAATATTTGATTTGTTTAAGACACACATACATATATACTGCACTGTATGATTTCTATGGTTTTGCAATGTATGGTGTTGAATCCATTGGCTGGTGTATGGTTTTACATTGGAGGTGTAATTCTTTGTTGTTTTAATGAGACTCTTCTATTTCATGGGTTGACCTGGGCATGGTTGAACTTCAACAGTGATTTTATAATGTTACAAGTAATTTCTAGTGGATGAATTTTGTCACTAGTTTGAAAACTCTCATCAGTATTCTGACTTCTCTTATATACAGCTTTGACTTTTGGCACTGTTTGCTGTTTTCCACTTCTTGCAAGCCATGATGTGATTGATGCTTGTTGGTCTTTACTTTACAATGTCAAGATATTTTTTTTTCTATTACATTATTGTTTTTCTTTTCATACTGTCTTCGTGTTTTATATTTTTACATCTACATCTACATCTTTACACATGTAGGATATTTAAAAACTGTGGATGTTAAAAGGGTGTAGTTACAGTTCAGTTAAAGTGCCTTTATTTGAGAGGAATTCTATTTCCAATAAAGGAGAGCTGACTGACTGCAGATACATGAGGGTGCTGCATCAGAGGTATCACTATATGCACATTGTACTCAGCCATAAATAGCACATATTGAAAACTGAAGTTTCTCGTTTAAATGGGTACAATGTGGCAGCATGGAAAAATAAATTATGCTGGAATTTATGGTGCACAATTGTACAATGAACCTGAAATAGAATTATCAAACTTTAACTAAGTATAGCTAGATTCAGCTGCAGTTAAGTTGTAATCGCTGTCCGTGGTGCTGAACGTGTTTGGTCTTATTTTCCAGTATTTGTTTATTAAATACCACCAATATTAAATAACAAAATGAATATTCTGTGTGAATTAATTCACAGAAGTTCATTGAAGGTAATATATAACATTTGAAAATTATCTGCATAATCCTCAGAACGTTTTGAAAGGCATTTGTTTTCCAGCTTTTTTTGAAGGAAATGTTTTATTTAGTTTACTGAGGAGTCCACCTACTCCTCTTCTCTTTCCAGTTACTCGACTATGTTTGGTCAGAGATTCGCGTAGCTACCAATCGATTTACCATTCACCAATGTGCTACAAACCTTTTCACTTGTCTGAAGCGAGATGGTGGTCGCATGGTGTCAGTGTAATGTAAAAAATCAGCAATACATGAGCTTGTCGTCATTCCATTTTGGTTCCTCCTCTTGAGAGCATTTCCCTTCCATATTAGTTCAGCCTTTCCTGTGCTTACTGTTGCCTTCGTGAATACCCTGTTTGCAAGTATTTCTGGCTGTGTAGGCAAAGAGTAAATATTTACATACAGGAAAGTGTTGGATTCTGTTTTTTGTTTTTTGTTTTACAACGCAT